AGTCTTCGATTCTCTTGCAACTTTAACCTCTTTAATCTCTTTTTGCTTTTCTAATTCCATTTTTTATTTCTCTCTTTAACTGAATATATCGATTTCTCAATTGCCCCTTCCTCTTTTGATTTGCTATATATGCCTCTCTTTTGACCAATCAGATATTTTAATCTATTGTTCATCCATTTAGGATAATTTTTGTTTGATCTGATTTCCCTATTTGGAACATAATTTGACTGAGCAGCTAGAACTATGCCCTGGAAAGCATCATATCGGCAACCATCACCACCTACCTGACCCTTAGTCAGGTCATTCCAGTTCAGCCCACCTAAGTAATTTTTCAGTCCTATGAAATCAGCCAAGCGAAAGTCAGGGACGGAGACTTGATTGCCATTATTAGGGGATTCCATGATATATTAAAACTGAGTGATTTGTGATCACTTTCCCCAAGCTCATCATTAACCTCAAGATTATTAATTAGTGTTTCCCTACTGGCAAGAACCAAGTCAAGGAGGTTATTTCCCCTAGTTGGCTCTGTCACAAACTGTTTTAAAAAACAATCCTGGATCGTATCAAGAAAGTCACCTGACTCTAAATTTCTGTCAAATTGCTCCAGTCAATCTGTCTATAGTTGAAATCTCCCATTAGCACAACATTTTCGTATGTAGATGCCTTACGAATTTCGTCCCATAGAAGTTTACTGCACTCCCTATCAAGATTTGGGGCCCTGTAAATCACACCCAAAATTAGTTTTTCTCGGCACTCGAGAAGCTGTAACCCAACAGATTCAGTGGCTGACGCTTCTAATTTAATATCTTGTCTAACACAACAATTTAAATTGTCTCTGACGTACATCGCTACTCCACCACCTTTCCTGTTGACCCTGTCAGTGTGGAATAATTTATAGCCTTGTATGTGACATTCAGAGGGCATCTCTCTATCTTTCAGATTGAGCCAGGTCTCTGTTATAGCAATAATATCTATGTTTCCTGCACTTGCAATTAATCTTAGCTCATCTATCTTATTTCTTACACTCCTGCTATTAGTATAGTAAACCTTAAGGGAGCTAGTCCCTTGCTGCCCTCTGCTGTCCCCCTTTGTTTGCTGACCTGATCTATTGTCTTTATTTATAACTTCATGCTGAATGCCTTTTATACATTTACTGTTTCCAACCCAAGTGTTGCAACCTGCTTGTTTCCCACACACACCCATACCTCTATCTTCCATCAGTTTAAAATCATAGGCATTTCACCAATGGCCTTCTCAATCGAGTCTGCAAGTGCTACCACCCCAGCCCCAGAGAGATGTACCCCATCCTTGCATACATATCATGTTTGCATAAAGTTGTTCCAGTTGTCAATGAATGGGATTGCAAGTCCTTGCAGTATCTGTCTAGCCAGCAATTTACACCAATTGCCCTAGACAAACCATTCATTTCCTACTCCCCTTCTAGGCAAGATGCTACATATGATTGGGATCCCTCCCTTAGACTTAATGAAATCTATAGCTGACCTGTACTTATCTAGCAGCTCTTCTCTCCTACCCTTCCCATATCATTTCCACCAGCACTGAGACAGATAATGGGCTTGTTCCCATTACCTGACATGATATTATCCAGCCTGTTGACAATGTCCCCAACACCAGCTCCAGGGAAGCACACTCTATCCCTCATCTTCTTATTCCTATTACAAAAAGCACGGTCAATATATCTTAACCTGAGAGTCACCAACCACAAGAATGCGCTTACCTCCATTTGCAGGGGCAGTAGTACCCTTACCTTCACTGGCCACTGAAGTACATTCATCCTGAAGAACTGAGAAGCGATTTCCTACCTTCAGATCTTCACTCTTAACTTTCCTTACTCTGATGCGCTTCCATTACTGTGAACCACTCGCCACTTGTAGCAGGGTGCTGGACTGCACCTCACTGCTGGTAGCCGTTGCTACTCCCAACTACAGCCTCCTCACAGCGAGAGACAGACTGCACCTCACTTGAAGCCTCATTCCCACAACTCCAGCCACCTCACACTCTCTCCCAGACCCATTGAGGTGGACCTTCAGCCTCCTAATCTCCTCCTGGAGAAGCAAGACCTCCTCCTTCAACTCTCCAACCTCAATTTTTAAAACACTGCAGAAGCAAGCCATGCTTTGTAACCGTCCACACTAATCCCCAAAGCAGCTCAGGGTCTGTGACCTCACGTGACGACTGACCACTGACGACTGACGACTGACCACTGACGACTGACGACTGACCACTGACGACTGACGACTGACCACTGACGACTGACGACTGACCACTGACGACTGACGACTGACCACTGACTCCTTTTCGGTATTGCATATACCATTAACATAAAGCATTGGAACCGTGTGTGACGACTTCCAATGAACAATTACTAGCCACCACATAGTTGTTGAGGTCTGGCAGACCTGGCAGGTCTCCAGGTAGGCTCAGCCACCCAAAACAAACTAGTGGTTCCTGAAAAACATCTACCTACATCACCGTTACCATTTTCCAAGAAATATTAAAAGAATACATTGATCACCGGTTATTCCATATTGTTTTATTGATTTAACATAAAGGAAGGTTAGTAATTACTCGTGGTGTTCAGACTTAATTACTCGTGGTATTCAGACTTAATTACTCGTGGTATTCAGACTTAATTACTCGTGGTGTTCAGACTTAATTACTCGTGGTGTTCAGACTTAATTACTCGTGGTATTCAGACTTAATTACTCGTGGTGTTCAGACTTAATTACTCGTGGTATTCAGACTTAATTACTCGTGGTATTCAGACTTAATTACTCGTGGTGTTCAGACTTAATTACTCTTGGTGCTGAGACTTCAATAATTAGTTTGTGACATATATGGCATAAAGAAACACACACACATACGGACACAACCAAAACAACAATTAAGATGACGGATCCCACAAAGACAATAAGTATTTCTATTTACATTTTTGCCCTAAACGTAATATATAATTACTAACATATACTGTAATTACAAAATGTATAATTAATAATATATACTAAATACATAATAATGTATAATGAGTATATAATTACTAACAAATACTGAATATATAATTATTAGATATATAATTATTAAAAATGAAATATAAATTAAATTTTCCCAATACATCTAAGATGCAAAAAATGTAATGAACTTCTCGTATGTTTTCTTTTGGGAAGAAGGGGAGAGCAGATAAGACGAAATTCCACGTGATTCAAATTAAACACTGTATATTTCGACCTTTTCCCTGAGGCCCTCTTCATCAGCGTGAGATATAAATATACAGTATTTTAACTGATGTGTTATTGTAAAGAAGGAAATATGAGAATGAAAGTGATGGTGAGTGATTGTCCATGCACCATGTGTTAAGACACTGATATGTGGCTACATAGGCCATGTTTCAGCTCCTGGACCCATGTATACATTGACATGTGGCTATATGTTATTGACATGTCAACGAAAGACATACTGGGATCCAAATGTGCTGCCAGAAATAGTGAAGAAAATGACCCACGGTGCAAAACAGACTTGTATCTGGGCAACGTTTCACTGTGTAGGGCGAAACATAGAAGCTTCTCCTTCAACATGTGTCCTTCACCAATCCTAATGACTTTACTGACACCTAAATTAAGGAACACATTAAACACATTTTATTGGTAAATTTTTATTAGTTAACAAGTCTCCATTATCAGTAAATACTTATCCATTATTAGTATGCAAAATTCTTGAATTTCAATATACAAAAACCTTTATCACCAGTACACAATCAGTGTGCGCAACAAGGCCAACAGATTACTTGGATTTATCTCAAGAAGTATAAGTAACAGAAGTCCAAAAGTTATTTTGCAGCTCTATACATCACTAGTGAGGCCTCATTTGGATTATGCTGCTCAGTTTTGGTCCCCTTACTACAGGATGGACATAGACTCATTAGAGAACATACAGAGAAGAATGACTAAAATGATTTACTGTGTAAGGAACCTCCCGTATGAAGATAGACTTAAAGCCTTAAATCTCCACTCTCTGGAGAGGCGTAGAATGAGGGGAGATATCATTGAAGTGTATAAGTGGATGACGGGCATAAACAAGGGAGACATTAATAAAGTACTGAGGGTGTCGAACCAGGTAAGAACCAGGAATAATGGATTTAAGTTGGATAAATTTAGATTTCGAAAGGACATAGGTAAGTACTGGTTTTCTAACAGAGTTGTAGATGCGTGGAACAGTCTTCCTAGTGGTGTGATAGAGGTTAGGACCTTGGGTAGCTTTAAGAAGAGACTGGACAAATATATGAGTGGGAGGGGCTGGGTTTGATTGGTGTCAAGGGGTACGGGAGTTATTTCTTGAGTAGCTTTAGGTAGATGTCGTTTTGATAAGGACCTGCCTCGTATGGGCCAGTAGGCCTTCTGCAGTGTTCCTACATTCTTATGTTCTTATGTTCTTATAAAAGTTTACATTTTTATTATTAGTCTAAAATCTTAATTAGTAGTGACAAGAGCTCATTATAGAAAAGTTCGAATTAGCATTATAAAAAGTCTTTATTATCTGTACACAAAAGTCTGCATTATATAACTATCTTAACTACCATTATACAAAAGTTTTAATTATCATTATATCAAAAGTCTTCATATATCACTACATAACAGTCTTTTACAAGTCTGGAAGGTAAAGCAAATTGCCAATAAGTATGAGCACAACATATCGCTCAGTTTCGATGATTTAATAAAGTTCTACACAGAAGAAACGTTGTCCCAACATAACTAATGGCTCCTTAATAATAATCTAAAATAGGCTATTGCTCAGAAGCCTTTATTTTGTATCTTGCAAACCAACGTTTACAAATCAATGGAGATGCAGTGGAAAAGTTACTGGCGACGAGGCATTTACAAATCAATGGATAAATTATTTACAAATAAAATGAGAAATCATTTACGAATCAAAAGAGAGGTTAATTATCAAGCTATGAATTTACAAAGCTATGATTTTTTTTTAGATAATCAATCACTCAAAAACCTTGCTGTGTTTAGCACTCTTGAGACACACCAGCCTATAAGAACACAGGGCTACACCAGCCTACAAGAATACAATCCTACACCAGTCCACAATAATACAAGGCTACAAGATTACACCAAAATGCTGGATGGAACAAAAGCTATAACAAGTTTTACAGAACAATGTGAAGTTTGAAGTATTAATATAAACATAACATAACGCAGTTTTTTCCAGGTATAAGATAAATCACTGTCAAAATGGCGCTGTATATCAACACAGAAACTCAACATTTAAAAAAATTTCACTACACAAAGGCACATATCACAGCCTCCATTTATATAAAGCCTGAAGCATGCTTTTTTTTTTCTTAGTTAACAAAAATGAAGTTAAAATAATGATTTACTTAATAATTTTCTATGCTCTAGTGACAACTTACGATTTTCAATGTCGTTGTCATATCTCCACTAAAGAAAAAATTGTAGCTAAACAGCCACACTTGGACTCTTTTGTCTTGGCTCTATAAAATAGTGAATAAAAAGATGTCTGAATGTTTTTTTAAAATTTCAACCTTTTAATATACAACCTTGTAATGAGGTGTCTCAATAGGTTGAAACTCTATGCAACTTGACTCTCCTGTTATATCTGATTATGATTTCGGGGACCATCGCCCCTGCAGCCCGGTCTCAGACCAGCTCTCTTAAATTGGAAAGGAAATGTTACAGGACCAAGAGCTATTAAGAAACACACGGGAAAATAAAGATACATGTATACTGAATGCAGAGGTTAGTAAGATTTACCTATCATCTTACGTGTTCATGACACAGAAAGATATTCTACGGTGCGAAACACTAATGTGAGTGACGGTGGTGTCTCCCTGGGTGGTTGCTGTCTATCAGCCTACAAATTAACTCAGTTTAACTAAACCCACTTGGTGGGTCAAGCATCGCAAGACAGCTAAATCCACCTAGTGGGTCGAGCATCACAAGATAACTAAACCCACTTAGTGGGTTAAGCAACACAAGATAGCTAAATCCACCTAGTGGGTTGAGCAAAATAAGACAGCTAAATCCACCTAGTGGGTTGAGCAACACAAGATAGCTAAATCCACCTAGTGGGTTGAGCAAAACAAGACAGCTAAATCCACCTAGTGGGTCGAGCATCACAAGATAACTAAACCCACTTAGTGGGTTGAGCAACACAAGATAGCTAAATCCTAGTGGGTTGAGCAAAACAAGACAGCTAAATCCACCTAGTGGGTCGAGCATCACAAGATAATTAAACCCACTTAGTGGGTTGAGCAACACAAGATAGCTAAATCCACCTAGTGGATTGATCAACACAAGATAACTAAATCCACCTGGGAGTTGAACATATCAAAACATCTGAATCCATCTGCTGTGTTCAGCAACACAAGATAACTAAACCCACATGGCAGTGGATCGAACAACTCTGATTAACTGGGATATATAAATGACAAGTAGATACCATTTAACAGAAAAAGGAACTAATACTATTACGCTGTATCACATGTGATATGGTGTACTGATTCTAGTTTCTTGTCTTTGTTAAATAGTGTATTCCTCTCATTTATATTCACAGTACTGTGAAATCGGCATTACAAACTTCTTCTATCTAGCAGAAGACATTGTGACCAGACATGAGAGCGTCGGGTCGTCGTCCAGGAAGAGCTAGACTACTTCTGCTTAAGTCCAGCTACCAAAGCTTACGAGCTCAGGGATGAGCTCTGCAAAAAGGTCTTCGTGTTCAAGATCACCCAAGTAATCAGGACTGAGCATTTCAACTTGTTGCAGGGCCTCGTTGTACAGTGCCCTAAGCAGGTGTTCTTGCTGTATCGATTCTCTCATTTCTTGGATGTCTTGCTGGTCGAGTGAGACGCCCAACTCGGTCCTTGAATTACTTTGGCTCTGAAGACGTCGACTGGAAAGCTGCCTGCAGTTCCCATTATCATTCTCTGCATGAATTTCCTGTTGGTGTTCTGAAGGGAGTTCATCGCCCGCCAGATGGCCGCTCGTGTTGGCAGAGGTATTCCTCAGCGACGAGTCTTCAGATCGAGACAAATCTTGTCTGTACAGAGGATCACTTACCAAATCTTGATTTGAGAAGGTCGGTGGGCTGAACATTTCAGAAGGGTAGTACGACCGAGAGTTTCCTCTCGCATCACCACCTCCAGGATTGCCGTAATCGGTGAAGAACTCCGCATCTTCGTTGACTCCCATAATGTGTTGATTTATATCGTTATGATTCATGTTTGGATCACTGAAAGGTAAATGAAGAAAAACAACTGTAAATGAGCGTGAAGCTGAAGAACTGCAACATCTCTGGATAATATTTAATTTGCTTTGTTGAAGTGGTTTTTTATTTTTTGATGTGTGTGCGTGCATGTACGTACACGTAAGTTCGTGCGTACTTGCATTCGTGTTTATCTGTGTCCACATACGTGTTGGGTTTGCAGGGGTCGAGTCTCAGCTCCTGGCTTTGCTATATAAACCACAGGTGCCGCCATTATAGGTTCTTGGCCATTTGGGGACTATCATACCTACTCTTGGAACTGTGTACATATTTAGTTTGTCTCTAGCTTTCCCTCGTCTGGCTCATTCTACCCTGAAGCTGGAGAAGTATTTCCTAACATCCCAGTGGCTCATATGTATCGTTTTGGTTACAAATGTATCTCTGTGCTATATAACGTATAACATTAATTAAAACACCAAAACAAAACACTGTAACACATCACAACATACCCACACCACACTACAACACAACATACCTCCGCAACACAGTATAAAACCACACCACAGCACAACATACTCTACAATATAGCATAACACCACACCACAACATACTCTACAACACAACATACTAACACCACACAACACAACACAACGTATTTTGCAACATAACATACTGATACCACACAACACAACATACTAACACTACACAACACACCATACCTCCACAAGGTAACACTCCAAAACCACACCACAACACAACATACCAACATGACACAACATTACATCACAACACAACACAACATACTAACACCACCAGACAGAACAACACCACACAACACACCATAACACATCATGCCACCATAATGAAGGAACAACACAGTCGCAATACAACAAATATTAATGAAATACAACATAACACTGCAACACAACACACTCTAACACTGTATCACAATCTGTAACACAAATACAACAAATAAAAGCACAGAGGCAACACAACATAACATCACAACAAAGCCCAACATAGCCAAAACACAACAAAACACAATATAGCAACACAACAAACATAATACAGCAACACCAAGCTACTGCTTCACAACACAGCATAACACTACAACTCAACATAACACAGCACCACAACGCAACTCAACATGACACCACAGCAAAACATACTACTAAACACAACACAACTTAGCACTACGACGCAACAACATAGCATCTCAGCTCAGCATAGTAACAATACAGCACAACATAGCACTATATTACAATGCAACATAGCGCTGCAACACAACATAGCGCTGTAAGACAACACAGCACCACAATGCGACATAGCACATCATAATGCTATACTATAAATCAACACAGCACTGCAACACAACACTGCACTACAATACAACATCACAATTAAACCCAACATAGCACCACAAAGCAACATAATAATACATCTCAATACACCTTAGCACCACAACACTACAACACAATAAAGCACAGCACCACAACGCAAGATAACATAGAATAACATCTCGGTACGACAGAACAGCAAAACTTAACATAGCACCCCAACACTACAACACAACATAATGAAATATAGCACCACAACACAACCTGATACAAATAACACCACAAAATAACAGGACACAACATAACACCACAATGCAATATAATTCAACAACACAACTAAAGAAAACACAAAACATCACTGTAACACAAAACAAGCATAGCATTACAATACAATATTTGACAAGAAACACAACACAACACTATAACACAACACAACATAGCACTAAAGCACATATCACTAAAATTCAACACAACATAGTACTATTAACAGAAAACTGGAGTGAAACATAGCACCACATTACAACACAACAACACAGAAGGAGCAAACACGTAGCAAACAGGTCTTCAACTGATGATTTTTTTGTCTTTGTACAGTGTAAACAGCGATTATTAGAATACAGCAGACGTAAACCAGTATATGAATACAACATAAATTATTATTATTATTATTATTATTATTATTATTGCTACTACTATTATTATTATTATTATTATTATTATTATTATTATTACTATTATTAGTAGTATCATTGTTATTACTATTATTATTATTGACATTACTATTATTGTCATTATCATTATTATCTCTTTTTTATTACGAGTGATTTACTGTGACCAGTTTCGAGAGTTTTCCTACTCACTATTATAATTATAATTATTATTATTGGGAATCACTAAACCCGTAAGTTATTATTTGGATATTTAATACATTGCTTACTTTTTTTTTCTTGCAGAAGTTTTAAAGACATATGTACATCTGTACATTTAATCACATAGTTAATCAGTTGTACTGTACATACCATCCTAAGTTAATCAGTTGTACTGTACATACCATCCTAAGTTAATCAGTTGTACTGTACATACCATCCTAAGTTAATCAGTTGTACTGTACATACCATCCTAAGTTAATCAGTTGTACTGTACATACCATCCTATACTCTGCCCATAATAATATTTATAACAGGAGGAATACCCAGAATAGCAACATTATTAATCAGATATATGTTACACTCTGAATATACTAACTAGAAGTTAATAACCCCTTTTTCATCATTCATTAGACATTCTTCAGATTCCATTCTTAATTTGTTTTATGCTATGAGAGGCTTTGACATGACCAGGTAACCCATTCCAGTTATGTGATGCTACATAACAGGTGTTTGTGGCCTGCCCACCTGTTGTGGCTACTACGAAACTGTGTTCACTTCTAGTCCAGTACTAGGTTAGGTTCTAACCTTGACAAAATTTTCAACACGATATTATGGACACTGATTATTAGCAATTTCTTATAGATGACTGAACTTCATTGCTTTACTCTATTCGATACTACAAACATTTGTAGTTGTTGATCTGTTTTTCAGGGTACTTTGATGAACTGAGTAAACTACTTGGCTATATATATGAGGCAGACAGATCGTCCTGAGTGACTGACCTGGTAGATACCATCATGCCTGTTTATACAGGAACTGATTTGGCTTTTACTTTTCTTCCACACTGTAAGGTAATATTTCACCTGACGTGTACGAGTCAGTGGATATTCGTAGACAGTCCATATTCTACTAAGGTGAGTTTCTCATTACACAATGTCTTAAAACTATTGACCCTAATGGAAATAAGTCACTTTGACTTTTTTGGGGGGATTTATCCTAGGTAATTTACACTATGTATGATAATTGTACCCATGTGTACCTGTGCCTGCACAGACTTAATCAGTTTCAGTTTACACTGAAGCAGGTCAATGATTAGTTACATTTACGCTCATCGGCTGGAAAATGGAAACGAATCATAAAGTCTGACTCAAGAAAAGGAAGGTGGCTTTAATTTCTTAGATCAAAGCATCCGGCTTCTCTTCTACAATGGTGACCCTCAAATAGAATCCAGTGTGGACATAAACAGACAAATTACATAAAACTGAATCATATTGCAACTGCCTAAACCTGGTATAAGCCGAAGAATTGCAACATGCATGTTGAATATTGTACATAAACAGGGTTGCACCATGGTTGACATAAGCCAGAGTGATAGTGCTCAAGACGGACAACAAAATGGCCGGCCATACCTTTGTTAGTCAGAGGAAAGAAATAAATTACTTTATTTTTACCAGGCAATGCATTTATAATTAACATTTACAAAACCCAAGTAAACTTTTACAATGATCTTGAGGACACACAGGTGTCATGGATTAACATAAGACAATGAACCGAGTTACAAGAAGACGAGATTGCTCGAATTATTAACCCAGAGGTGTCCTAACCCAGGATAATCCATGGAAGCCAATGATTGTAGGTTATTTCTATTGGGATCATTTGATCATACTGCCATTATAATTTTGTACCGCCATAATAATGCTAAACTATAAACCACGGTACCAACAGAACGATACATATTAATACTAAGATTTGAATAACAACCCGATTAATGCTACCATAACACCTATGCTACCATGATATTGATGCTACCATGATATTGATGCTACCATAAGAATCATATACCCACATTAATACTATCATAAGGAATATATTACCATGATGTTAATATTTCCACAAGAGCCATTTTACCATGATATTACAATTACCATACATTCCAACAACCACATTAATACTTACAAAGACAATACAGTTAACATCCTTCCATAAAAAAATACTACCATGAAAGAATTAAATACAATACATATCGAGGACATATACAAGATGTATATGTTTATCAGTGTGTACAACGCTGAGAAACACTATACTCTGTATACCTAACTCCAGGCTGTGTATACCTGTGATTGTGCTGAGTTTACCTAGCATCAGGCTATGTAGACTTATCTCTGTAGTGTTCATACCTAACTTCTGTTCGTGGATAACTAAGTAAATTCTGTGTATGTCTACAACTAACTAAAGGCTGTGTATGTCTACAACTAACTAAAGGCTGTGTATGTCTACACCTAACTAAAGGCTGTGTATGTCTACTTTCAAGTTGTGTGCATTAGATTCCGTGATGTTTGGTTATGACTAACTACACGCTAAGTTCACATAGCTACAGTCTGTGTGAGTATAACTAAAGGTTGAGTGAGTATAACTACAGGTTGTATGAATATAACTACAGTCTGTGTGAGTATTAACTACAGGACTTCTTTTCTTTATTAAAATTTTCAACAGAAATCTAATGAATTAATTTAAAAAATTATTAAACCAAGCTATAATAATGTTTATTATTATTATTATTATTATTATTATTATTATTATTATTATTATTATTATTATTATTATTATTATTATTATTATTATTATTATATTTTATTGCTAGAGAAGCGTTAAACTCATAGGGGTCCTATAACACCTGGGGAAAGGTGGAGGGTAATTAGTTTTGGTCCAAGAAAGGGAAGGTTGTAATAAAGTTGGTAGAATTACCAACAATATGTAAAGTAAAAGGACACAAGTGCAACTAATGTGACATTTTATTGTGGCAACGTTTCGCTCTCCAGGAGCTTTATCACGCCGATACAAACAGTATATGGACACAGAGGGTATATAAAGGCTGAGGGTATATAAAGGGTATATAAAGGCAGTACTAGTGGTGGTGGTGGTGGTGGTGGTGGTGGTGATGGTGGTGGTGGTGGTAGTAGTAGTAGTAGTAGTAGTAGTAGTAGTAGTAGTAGTAGTAGTAGTAGTAGTAGTAGTAGTAGTAATAGTAATAGTAGTAGTAGTAATAGTAGTAATAGTAGTAGTAGTAGTAGTAGTAGTAGTAGTAGTAGTAGTAGTAGTAGTAGTAGTAGTAGCAGTAGCAGTAGCAGTAGTAGTAGTAGTAGTAGTAGTAGTAGTAGTAGTAGTAGTAGTAGTAGTAGTAGTAGTAGTGACAAAAGTTGTAGTAGTAGAAGTAATACTGTTTGTATCGGCTTGATAAAGCTCCTGGAGAGCGAAACGTTGCCACAATAAAATGTCACATTAGTTGCACTTGTGTCCTTTTACTTTACAAAGGGAAGGGTTGCTTATATTTCATGGATCAAAAGCCCTTTCACCAGCATTAACTCTTCCCCACCCCTTTAAAGGGGATATTAATTTTGAGTTAACAAATATATGCACATCGGTACATAGCATATCAATACTGTACATAAACACATAACATTTCAGAGTTTCCTGACGCAGGTCTTAGATGATGACTCCCCGTTGGAACTTACGGTCATGTGACCGACACCTTCTGCTGGCTTGCCAGCACACTTCTTTTAAAAATATGGACATAATTACAATCATTTAATTTGCTAGACAGCACCGGTTTGGTACCTGAGTTGTAGATGAGTGGAACAATCTGTTAGTCAGTGAATCGATCACTTTGGCTAATTTTAGAAATACACTGAGACAAATTTAAGAGCGGGAATGTATAGGCCTACTGCAACAATTATTGCAATGCTAATTTGTTGTTAGGTGTTTATTTTTCTTAGTAATTTTCGAGTATCCGAACACTTGGACAAATTGTTATATGCACATGACCCGTGAATAATGATTAAGAAGTCAAAAATATTTCTTATGTCTAAAAAGTTTGTCTCAGTATTTGTTAGGGGGATAGGAACAGTCTGCTTGAAATATCTTTTACGTGAAGTAGTCAGTACGTTTATTTAAGCACAGGTACATGTAAGTACAATTATCACACATAATGTAAATTACCTATGATAACCTTAAAAAAGTCAAAGTGACACATTCCACTTGAGTCTTTAATATTTCCATTGGAATTCTGTAACTTATTTCAGTATTGAGCAGTTCCAAATAATCTTCTACCTGTCGGGTTCTGAGCACCAGGTAATTAGACTCATTATTAGTACAGTGCCTCAGATGGTCACCATTTTGTCGTGTTTGTGGAGGTGAGGGGGGGGGGGGGAGCGCTCACGTGCATCTTGCCCTGAATATGGAGGAGTAAGGAACACGGGCGTAACATGGGTCATTCTATACGGTTCGTTTCATGATTCTTCCCAGGACAGCATCTCACATCTCTTAGATGTAAGTGATACCTCCAATATAAAACATTCCATTAATAAGGCATAAAGGATATTATATTATTATATTGTTGGTGTATTCATTTGAAAGCACATGATAGCAGAATGAACCACGATAAATATCACTGAAGACGCACTCTCACTAAGGTCACTCTTGTAATTTACACTCTATTGAAAGAACCAGAGTATACCGTAATTTTCACCTACTTGAAAAAAATAATAACTTTATAGTTTGGCTGATGTCAAAGATGCGATTGATGAGCGACGGATCTGTCACTATGCATCTCTTAAGATCTCAGCCACAGAGCGACTCCGCTCAGTTTTACCGAGAAAAACATACACACTTCCTTTCACAAACACTTTCACAATCACTTATCTCTAATAGTGTTTCACTAAAAAAAAATATTTTCTCTTTACCGTGAATAACGAGAGAACATCCAAGATAGCACCAATATCTTACGCTGCTAGGCTGCAACTGAACCACTGTGTGACGGCGAAGCTGCTCCGTTATACACCAGTGGCAGAGTTGCCATCAACAACTCGTTTTGCTGCCCAAATAAATTTTCATC